TACCCCTTTATAACAAAACAAAAGATGAATTGCATCGGTTGATTCTTTAACTGTTCTTCTTGGACAAACGAGAGAGTTGAATATTGATTTAAACGTTTTATTCGTTTATACGAAGTTATTTCGCCTTTAACACTTTATAAAGTATTAAAGTTTATTTCTAATGAAGTTTGTTAAGGATTCTGCGAAAATTTTGGTGAATAATTTCTTTAAAATGAATATATTATTTCTATAACATGAAACATTTCTGTTGTTGAAGAACAGTCTGTTTGCTGTAAATAGTCCTGTTTGTAGTCTTTTATACAGCATATGAGTTTGATCCAATCTTTAATTTAGAAAAGACTTAAATTTATATAAATAAATGACACAACTTCTGTATGGTTTTATTGATCATACCAGGGGTGTGCTGGAGGGGGCTCAGCCCCGTTTGTTCAAATTCTATGCCTTGCATTGCCAGTGAAAGTTATATATCAAAAAGCTAGCAGCACTTTAATACACATCAGAAAGCCAGCAATATTTTAATATATATCAGAAAGGCAGCAACAGTTTTTATATACATTAAAGAGCCCAAATAGCTGAAATTATGGAGATATGCCTCTGTGATCTTATAAACCAAAACCTTCAGTTAAAATATCATTGACAAGTCTAAAAGAGAAGTAATGTTCTACTGTGAGCTACAGAACTAGGGTATATTTGTACAATTCATTACCAAAAATATATTGTACTCAGCTGTTTCAGTGAATATCCTAATTATAATTACATCATTTTTGAATGATGAACTAAAAATACAACATACAGCATGGAAAATCATTTGTGATTTGTGATTTGGTGTAGTTGTGATTTGTGATTTGGTGTAGTTTTTGTGATTTGGTGTAGTTGTTTGTTTTAGTGAGGAAGTGACTGAGAATTGAGAGGTTTGTAAATCAACCCATTTCAGAACATAATGAGAAATCATCTTCGATTAAAAAACAAGCTTTGGAGTAAGAAAACTATTGAAACTGCATTAGCACGAACTATGCAATGTTATTTGGCCCAAAAATGATTCTCTACATGAGTCAGTTAATTGAACCTTATATCAAAAGCAGTTCAGCACAGCAATCACCTAACCCAATTAAAGTTCGACGTAAAAGCATTTCATTTTATTCGTAATCCTCGATTCTGGCGGTATGTAATGACATTTAGTAGCCGTCAACAATCAGTTATTACACACTTATCCATTAAAAAACGCAATATTATCTCAAAATACTGTATTACTAGCAGTAATTGCTATATAAGCACTAGCTGAAGTTTCAAAACTAGGAATCAAAATGGCGGAAATTGATCAGGTGATCAATATTGCCCAATCAACGTAAGTTAAACGGAAACAATCGATGTCTCAACTCTTACGAATAGTTATTACGGCTCTGGTTATTACAATTCACTGGATCAGAAAAGACCTGGAGCCACTGATCTCAAAAGAAGACTGGATCAAGCAATTCATATTTGTACATTGAGTTCTATAATAACTGGAGCGGCTAACTGTATTGGGACGAGGACGCCAAAAAATGGCGGCAAAAGGACCTATTTCCCCTAAAATGATCGCTTTGCAGAAAAAATATTCCCGACCTCCCCCTGGTGTACACGTTAAATTATATAGAATTTTTCACAAACAAACATGATGCATGCATGACAAATTTGAATCCATTCAACACAGACAGAAATCCTTCTCATAGTGCCAAAATATCTCGTTACTTCGAGCCTTCATAGAGTCGAAAGCTCAGTAAAAAATCACTTAAAATCCGGAGAAACTTTTATCTTTAATGTATTAAATGCCTGGATTACAAATTTTCAAACATATATATATATATATATATATATAATTAAGAGTAAGTGCTACTGCTAGATAATGCTATCGTGCCATGATACAGCTCCGCAAGTGTTAAAATATGTCGTCGGAATTTCACGTTGCATTTTGGCACTATGAGAAGGATTTCTGTCTGTGTTGAATGGATTCAAATTTGTCATGCATGCATCTCTTCTCCATGAGCCAGGTGTGACAAGATGGTTGTCATCCTCTACATCTGCTGGTGCTGTATAACCTGATTTATTCTTTTCTATCATATAGTTATGCAAGCAACAAGCAGCTAGAATTAGATAGGTAATGTTACGACCGTACCGACTAATAATAAAATGGCCGCTTTTGGTTCAATTGCTCGTAACAAAAGGAGGAAAACCTTGTGGAGAAGTTGTTGTCAATTTTTAAGATATTTATTTAATATACTAATATTTTTGATATAAACGTTATAATATAAATGTTTAAATGTTCAAACTTATCTAAGACAACTGCTTTCAGTGACTCTTTCGTTGATGGATTGGATATATATCTGGATTCTTTGGTTATCTTCGTAAATAGTTCGTTTTCTTTTACATGTGCTTTCTTTTGATGTGGACTTCTACTAAGCACCAACATGACTACAAGGCATTTTACAAAGAGCACTAACCAGTTAACTAATAATATATTTAAGTATATAACAATAATAAGTATAATTTACATGATCATGGATTATCATGTAACAGTAACCTTGTCAGGACACAATCTTATTGTAGTTAGGAACACACGCCATTTGGCAGAATCCGAAAAGCATTTTCTACTACCCGTCTGGCACGAGACAATCGGTAGTTAAATATTCTTTTCTCTTTATTTAAATTCCTGTGAATGAATGGCTTCATCATTGTTTTGCTCAATGGGAAAGCATCATCACCCACAATGTGGTAATGTATTTTTGATGAAACTCATGGAATTTCAATTGGTAGTGGTAGACCAAGAGTATTTTCAACAACAGCTTTTCGCAAGCTAGACTCGTTATACACGCCAGCATCTCCTGCTGCTCCAACATTAGCATAGACAAACTTGTAGTTTGCATCTACTAGATCTAAAAGCAAAACACTGAAAAAATGCTTGTAGTTGAAAAATTCTGATCCACTACTATTTGGTTGTCGTATGGCTACGTGTTTCCCATTTAGAGCTCCAATGCAGCCAAGATAGTTCCATTTTTTTTCCAATTAGTCTGCAACAGCCTTCCATTCTTCTGCACAAGATAGAGTCTGTAATTGAAGAAAATAAAAGCAATTACATCATAAATTTGTTTATGTTAAACTAATGAATGTTCATTTATTGAATGCTTCTAGGACGATTCCAATTCACCATCATGCATAACAATTGCTGATGAAGTTGATGATCAAAACAATGATGATGATGACGACAGTTTTAATGATCCAGCAACACCAAACAACAGTCTTGAGAATGAGGTTGACTGTCCCATTTCTAGTACTAAACAGCCAACACGTATAAAGCCAAACAGAAAAAGGCAAGCAGATGAAGAATACAATCTCATGACTTTTGGCAAAAAAACATCTCAAGAAAAAGAAGCAGAGAAATGTCTCACAAGCAATGTAATAACCCGGATGAAGCATTTGGTCATTATATCACGCAGTCGTTGTCTGAACTTCCCCCCGCTGTAAAGCACTTGGCACAATACAAAATTAATGAAATACTGTCCCAGGCTCAAACAGGGGAACTTACACATCATAGCACAAGAGTGCCAGTAGCTATGCGCCAACATATGTTTCAAACACCTTATGCACAAAACAACATGCACCTCATTAGCAATCGTATGACAAATAGACAACGATACAACACATCTTCCCCAATAGATGGTGGATTGAGCAGTCCTGTTGTTAATATGTGGTCTTCACCAATCTCTAGAGAGCTTAATTCAGGTCAAGACTCATCTGCCTATGATAACATGAGCTCTTAATGGATGTAAACAGTTATTGTTAATACTACCGATATTTGTTATAAATATTTAATAACTTGCCTCCAAACATGTTTCTTTTCCGACAAATTTTTAGTTGCTAGCTATAAAGTGCTGTAGTGTGACAAGCTTCGTGAACAATATATTGATGCTGTAAATTTCATAGAAATATATTTATTGAATAATACAACTTTTATTCCTACGAAAGGCAACACTAATTTCAAGTTTTGGAAAAAACCAACTTTAAAAAACATTGACTATTTGTGGCGTTTAAAGCCAGTTGTACATGGACATGCATTTTCATCTAGTAAGTCTAAGTGCGCGTGCTGTTGGACACAATATAAATTGAATTATACATTGTACATTTAAAACGCAACCAATCATATACATCAGACATAAAAAATTGTACTGTCGCCAGCAAAATAAAAGTGGACTGTGTGTAAAAATCGCCGAGAGGAACTTTTCCTAAGAGATGTCGGTTTATGCAATAAGTATAGGTTATGAAACGAAAGTAGACACGATCTCAGACTTGTTCGTTATCATCATAAAATGGCCGTAAACTATAGTTGTCTTCCTTTTGCAATATTAGTGAAAAGCGGTTTCGGTACTTGCAGACAGCGACTACAACGACAACAGTTATGATTAGGAACAAAATCACAGATAAAGCAATCGTTGTCACTTTATACTTTGATTCTTCAAGGGAATGGGATTCGTGGTGCTGAGGTGGATGCTAAACAAAGAGGAATATGTTAAAAAAAGTATAGGACAATTAACCATTTTCATTGATTGTATGTGCCGGTTCACTACCTTTTGAAAAATGGTACTGACATAAAAAAACGACCAATGGAAAATCTCCCCTTTTCTGTGTGAAAATAGCAAGCACGGAAAATTTGTGCACGGTTTCGGGGATACATTACAAATTGCGACCGCTTTTGAATGAAACATTAAATCTAAAATGAAACTTTACTTGAGAAAACCCCCTTCTCTGCAATACAGTTGTTGACTCACAAAATATCGACACATAAATTAAGAAAGGCTAACAAATACCTACTTGCATTGAAAAACTTACGCACACCAATAAACCTGGAGCAAAGTGAGAAACTTTTTTACGTTTTTGAATATATCTCAGCAGGGAAAATTTTGTTTTACTGGAAACTTGGCATAATAAATCTCAAGGTACTACTCATACATACAATCTTCAAAAACAAATTTTACAGTTTTTACATAGAGTTTTATTTTTCCATTATATCAGACAAGTCGATGTGTCTCACTTTCCCCAGATCCTGCAGCAAAGTGAGAAACTTAGATAGGAACCTTTTCGCAATAGATAGTAGGGGACTGAAGAAGTAAAATTGTAGAAAACATCTATAAAAAATTATCAACTTAATTTTTACCAAAAAATCTAGGATTTTTCATTTATTAAAAAATTATAGAAAGTTTGAGTTGAACTTAATCGATCAATATATTAATAAGTAAACAAAACCAGGGATGGAATTCAATGACACAAGACACAAATCTTGTCAAATGTGTAATCCTTGTGAGCCTAAGCAGTACAATTCACGCAAACAATCCATTCGCCTTCATATTCGTTCTATCCCCCATTGCAAACAAGGCAGATTCAATCATATATATCAGTTTCTTCTTCAGTCGAAAGCGGACTTGCGATATCTTTTCTTTGCTTTTCTTTATCTAGTCGTCATGTCAATATTATCATCAGTAGTTTGTTAATTCAACTTCTTCAATTTTCCATACAATATGTCTTTTGGCAAATCATCAAACATGGATACTTGTTATTGGGCCATCTTCTTCATTCTGCACTATAAATCAATCTAGACATTACATTTCAAATACATATTTCTATTATGGGGCAGTGAATATTTAAGAAAAGAAAAAACCTGTTTGGGAAAATATTATTCATTGACCTTATAGTAACTTAAATTTAACAACATGCACGCAAAAAAACAAATTAGGGGACACTATAGACACATATTATCGTATGATCATTACTTAATATGGCGACTGTCTCACTTTCCCCATGTAAGTACGGTTTTAAAAATCTCAAATATGAATGTCATCGAAGACATTTTTTAATTAAACGATGTTTTAGTTCAACCACCAACATCCAAACTATAATACTATAGAGAAATTTCCAGCATCTGCCATATATTACACAAAATATTTCAACATACCTGTCAACTCAATGAAACTTTGTCGAACTCAATTTAAAATTCGATAGTAAAGTATCTTCATTTGACGACCGCCATACTTTCTCCGTTTATAAAAACATATCTTAAATTTTACTTTGCTTATATGACATACATGCTGGGAAAGCCACTGATTGACTCTTAAGCTAAAGCTTCGTTTAACAGCTCAGATAGTTTATATTCAACGGGAAATATTGCACTTTGCCCCGGTGTCGCACTTTGCCCCAGGTTACGCTAATTACTTTTTAAATTCAGTTACCGAAGTTAAATCGTCAATAACCTCTAAAACTCACTATATTGCCAATCCTCGAGTCTCATACGCCTCGACACTCTTACACAGTAGCGTAACGCGCTTGCAAGTTTTAGTTCTCCAATGTAAGTTTCAGGAAATTATCTGTTTTAGCCGTGAATAAACTCCGAAAAATTTGCAGGAACAACTTTGTGGGATGGCAACTGACTAGTTGTTTCAGTCATCATATAATATTTATAATATAATATTTCAAAAAGCCGACATTGATTCAAGTCTAGCACAAATATTGTGCAGTCACTTATAGTCTTCAACCTCCCGAAATTCGTGAAATTTTTCGACTTTTCAACATAATGAAATATTTCTACGCAGCTTATGTATATGCACTAGACATGACATATGCATAGGCTAGGTAAAAATTTTGATTATATATACGTCCATTTATAAACACAGTCAGCAGTAAAATTTTCGATGCCATGTACTCACCTTTCTTAGATCGAAACGGCCATTAAACTTTATTAAGATGCAATGACTCTCAACTGTTTCTTCTGTATTGTCAAAATTGTGTACATTACAATTAATTGTCAATTTCATCAACGTTCCAGCCCAGAGGTTTGCTACTTCTTGGTGAATCTAGAAATATATTGCATGATTTATTTAATAAACTAGGGATCCGAAGATAGTGCAAAGTTTCTTACAAAAATGTTCCTAAACATGGCAAATAAAATTAGTTTTAAGACTGCATAGTGTCGAACCTTAGCGTTTCTAAAAATGCTAAGCTGAAATTGATTTTGAGAAGTGCTTATCAATAGCTAAGCAGCTTGCTTTAGACGAAAATACTCTGTAACAGTCTATAAATGATTTGTAATTGCCAGTAGACTGTATTTACAGAAATACGATAGATGTACACGCTGTCTGGCCTTAAAGATAAGTAGAAATTCACTTCTGATTTTTTAATTAACACTTGACACTTGTATCAGTAATATATCAAGAAAAGTATAATTTGTCTGGTCCAACTTGAGCAATGTATATTATAATGTATTACTCGTGCAAATCACACGAAATGAACAAACTAAACTTTGATTTCAATTACCAAGGAGGTAGTTATATCGATGATTTGTGACTGATCATCACGTGAATATTATGATACTTAACAAGTAAGCAATAATTTTCAATCCAAAATTCGACGCGTCAAGTGCAATGATAAACGACTAATATACCACGGTTTTCAATTGAGCATGAATGAATGTGACTTATAGGCGTTTCTTTCGCGAATGAAAGGCATTTGTAACAGCAGATGTTGACTTACTGACTGACAGATTGACTCGTGTGAATTTTCGCAACTCACCACAATACTGAAAAGTTCCCATGGAAACATTGCACTAAAAATAACCGTTTGTTGTCTTATTAAATATTCTATGACAGAACGTCTCCATGAAGATTGGGGACAAAGGGGAAACATTCGAGTAAAAATTTTTGGACGTCACCTACTTTAGTCTTGTAGTGTACCTACTTTAGTCTTGCAGCAATTTAAAAACGCTCTAACACGGTCATTGCATGTTATTTATTCACACAAGCAGTTTTAGTGAAATTGTGCTGTTGAATTCAAAAACGTTTCCGGTTCTCTTAATTGAATATGTAAATGATTATAGTTTATTAAGCTAATCTGATGTCAGATGGGAGAAGACGGACATTTGGCATCGAACTGTCATATGAATAAGATCAAATGAACTTCTCTGCCTGGTAACACTGTAAATTCTGTAAGTAGTCAGATGAATTTATTCCTTTTTTTTGCATTTGTTAGAACTATTTGTAATTATTTAGTTTATTACCGTGCGTAATAAAGTTATGCGCGTCTCGAAGTATCAGAAACTTAGCAGAGAATTGTAGAGCTCTTAGCCGAATTCTACAGGTGCAGCAAAGCTTTGACAAATTGTAGTAGCACCAGATGTTGATTTTTAACACTTTGAACTCGTAAAATATAGACTTTGTCGTCGTGACAAATTTAAAAATTGTTTTAAAATAAGGAAACATCAGGGTGAATGGTTAAAATAATAGCGCAAAAGTTTTAAAAGCACCGTGAACACCAACACAACAATAAACTTGCAGATTAACGTTTTCAAAAAAATTCGTCTTCTTATAAGCTATTTCGGTAATGAATCACCTAGTGGAGATGAAAACATAATATCAGCAATTAGCTAGCACTTCTATCATGAAAACAAACTTAAACTTAATGACGTACTAATTGTATTTTTCACAAGAAATCAAATTTTGCGTGTGTTCTTTGCCTATACATTAGATTCAGAGCATCATTTATGAGAACATGTATTTGGTAATCCTTAATTTCCGAAGTCTAGGCATGCACTTTGGAGTGGAGATTCCTAAGGACTGAAATCAAACTCAATAATCGAAATCCGATGACTGGGGGACTACATCACATCAATCTTATTTTTCGTTATTCGTAAGTCATACATTCCAATATTGTATTTCGGAGATGTTCCATAGTAAAAATCACACAATCGAATTTATTATACAGCTCTCATTTCTAAAGATTATCGTTAAATATAACAGTTTCCTCACTATATCAAGCAACCTGCTGAAGTCTTTAATTAACCATGTATTATCATTATGCAAGGAGTGCTTTTTTGTCCACCACTGCATGTGTACACATGCATATCAACGTCCCCAGCATTTGATCAACAAAGTGCATTTACAATCTGTAGTTGTTTGTTAATACAGTGCATTGGAGTCCTCCTTAGATAAATAGATAAATGCTCGTAAAACGTATTTTGCTACAATAACCTCCTACATTATTTTAGGATGCAAAGGCAAGCATATGAAGCTCGCTCATTTTAAACTGGTATAAACGTCTTGGCACCACTTCCCTTTACCCCTGTTGAAAGAAAATCCAGGCTATGCCAGTGCATCGGAGAAGTTGTCATGTTTAAACGTACCTTTAATGATATATTTTTAAAATGTCGTGTATCAAAACGTGGGTTGAAAATTGGTGATTTAAACGAAATCCATGGTTCATTGTTGGCAGTGAATAAAGATCGTGACCAGTCGACAGAGCAAGTTGTGCTTTGAGACGCACCATATCCAAATAATGGTGCCGAGATGGACAATGTTGTATAACATTCCGGTCTTTTAGATGATTTTATACAACCTTTCGGTATGCCAGGGTCAATCCTTTTTACAGAGGAGCCATCTGTATATCTATAACAACCTAAATAGGTGAAAATAATGACGCAGTATAAATAAGTTCTCCAATCGCTTGGGGTTTTCGAAACAGTTTGAAATAAAAGTACAATAGAGAAACAGGACCAGGGGGGTGCGGGGACGTTGAAAATAACAATTAAGCATCATTTAAGGAGCCCGATCACAGGATTAAAACAAAAACAAACTGATATACTTAGTATGAAATCTTCAACAGAAATTGCTTTGATAAACTGTTGTGCATCAAATATTTTTTAGCTTTTACAATTTATATTTATTGTGTAAGAGGCCATTGGCATAGAAAGATTGATAATTGGAGAGGGAGTGGGAATCATATTTATACATGCATAATATGCAGTGCTAAATTCCTTTGAAATCCATTGTTTTCAACGGATTACAACATGCATATATGAATATGAACCCCTTAATTATCAATCCTCTAACGCTTACACGAAGGGCCCATAATGCCAGGGTCCCAAATGATCTCTCGTTGTCTCGTCAGCGGCACAGTATAGAGAACATACAGTAGGGCCACTCTATTGAATTTTTTCGTGCCACGCATATCTTATTACGTGTGATTACCATATTGGCATCTAGTAAATTGCATTGTGTGACCAATAGGATTGACAATATGCAAACGGCAGACAGTAAACTAATTAAATATACAGCAGCCAGTTGCACAGCGAAGTAGCCCTACTGTATATTTCTACACTGTGTCAGCACGCCTCTGAAACAGATAAAAGTAGCAATTAACATATCTATTTTTGCACATATAAACAGCTCACAAACAATTTATGGCAAACAATCTGGTATGAGCCGTAGATCAACACACCAGACATCTCTACATGAGGTGTTCAGTTAGAAAAGGGGACAATATGTGACATGGGACAACATTTCATGTATGTGAAATACTCAGGTTTAATACCATTCCAGTTAAATTGTCAAAATAAAAAGCTTCATGGATCAGAAGACTCAATATCAAAGATTATAGTAAACAGCTTCTCATGTAATCAATGTTAGTTTTCTCAAATCTTAAACAATATGTAGTATAACTGTCCAATGATTGAATGATCAATGATCATAAACTGAAAAGCCCCAAAGATTTGTTTATGATAAAGTAAATAATAGTATGGCGCCTTATGGCTACAGATTTTTTGTCCATTGAAATATATTTGTAGAATAGTAGGAATGTAGAATAAAGAGAGCATAGCTAAAAGTCCTTCGGCAACAACATGTTTAGAAGCATCAATCTGCTTACCATACGCCATATTGACATAAATCGCATCACACACTCGCATAAATTGACTTTGATATATTACACTCATGCATACACTTCACTTGTCCTTTATTTACGATTTTGGATGTAAATTTCTGCTGATAAAACTCTAAACAATGTTGGCTTTCTTTTCAACATCAATGACTGAAATGTCGCTCGCGAGATCGTCTTTGCCAAGCATTTACAATTTATCCATAAATTTTTCACCCTCTTGAAAAAATTCACAGTTTGGACAGCAGCATTCATGTCAATATATGAATTTGTAAAAGATTTCCATAAATTCCATCTGATTGTAGTTTAGTTTCTATCATGCTTATAAAATTTACTATGAAACGATCAAACATTCAATTCAGACAGTGAGCTTGACTATATTAGTTCAGTTAGCTATCAGTCAAAATCGGTCAAACCAATCACAATAAAACAAAAATTCAAATGAACCAATTGAAAGATAGCAATTGGACTCCCTTATACGTCCGGCCACCCCTCTTATCGGTCGAGATCATTCCAGACTGTCCACTGATCTGGCTATTGACCAATAAAATAAGCGTTTTCGGCGTTCATAAACTCCTTTATGAGTCGAACCAGTCAAGCCACCCCGCTTATCAGTGGTTATACCAGGTCAATTAAAATTCAACTGATCTGGTTACCAACGAGATATTCATTGGATTAGTCATTAGTTTTCAATAATAAATAAAGCTGGATTTTTATCACGAAGTAAATGCGATAATAAAGTAAGTAAATAAATAAGTAAGTAAGTAAGTAAATGCGACAGATTTGACATACTCCAGATCCGCCCCTGGTTTTAAGCTTTTTTAAATAAATTTAGGTAAGGGCAAATCTTGGCTCAGTATTTTACACAGCAATTCTTTTATCTTGGCTTTGATCCATTAACCTGTGTACTTTCACATTGCATAATTCATTGATAAAAACACCAAGTGGCATTTATAAAACTAGTAGCATCAAGAAAACCTTTACAGCTTTACCCTCATTATCTGTACTGTCTGTAAATCTACCATCTGTCAATTTGTGCAAAAGAAGCAAGGAGTTAAATTAGGATATTTTTGTGGTGTTATATATATCAACAGTGTTTTTTTTGTTGACACAGCATTTGAAAGCCCGCGTCTTTCCGCTGACATTTTCATCCAAAATTTGCAATTTATGGTATGACGGCATCCATGCTTTTGATAACCGGCCGCGCTTAATAAATATAGTAATTTGGATTCGTGTTGAAAGACAATTGCAGAACATAAAATTCGTAATCAAGCCATTTTTAAGCCATTTTTTATTATTTTAACTACCTGTATGATGTCTTGTGTAAAGACGAAACGTTACAAATAATAAATAATTTTTTAAAAATGGCTTTATTTCGAATTTTAAGTTGGGCAATTGCCTTTTTAACACGATTCCGTTTTCCGCCTGGCAAGTCTCTCGCTATTATAGTAATTTGAATGAGATTGTACGTCCAGGTAATTACTATACCAGAGCACTATACATGTCAATGACCGCAACGCGTCTAGGTTGCTACGCAACGTAGACGCAAAAAGATATCCACCATTGAGTTCTATAACTGGAGCGGCTATCTCTAACACGGCTTTAATTAGCGGCTGACGCCAAAAAAATGGAGGATTAGTTCCATTACCGCTGAGATTTACCGAAATTGATTGCTTTTCCGAAAATCTCACAATTTCTCTCTTCCCAATAAGAAAGAGTGAGGAAAAAGTATATGTGTTTTTCACATATTTGGCAAGCAATTTATGATGAAAATCATTGTAAAAACATAAATTTCATAAAAGCGAGTCTACTGTGTTTGCCAGTTGTCGGCTTATACGACGGATGCCTTATGAATCCAGATGTGCGCGTCGTAACTGTCGTCCAATGATTTGCTCTATATCAAAGTGTGTAGCCTTGCACGAAACAAAATATATCATATTTTATCTCAACGGATCACTAGTGAAATGTTAGCTCATTAATTCTCATCAGTTTTTTGCTTTCTTTCATGTGATAGCCTTTTTCGCAACAATTGTAGCATTTGTTTTTGTACATGCATCTCGCGTTTCGTAAATTAATAATGAAAAAAAATATTGTACACAAATCACGAGAACCTTTGAGATTATTGTGGTCTTCTGAACAAGAACTGCATCAAATACTTGTCAAGTTGTAGCATATTTGATTTTGTTGTAATGATTGTGAAATGGCAAAAAGCAAATAATTAAAACACTTTAATTACAATAGTGTCTATTATACTTGAATACATGAATACACAATTGTGTATTTAATACTTCTCTTCTTTTTCTCTTTTTTATACGTTTCCTATTATTATCCATGTGAGTGCAGAATTTGATTGACTAATACAGCTTTCACCTCAATAATAAATTTTATACCCATATTTAATAACAGTTGCTATGGGATTTTTCCCTCTAAGTATGCAACATCTGGTGTTGTTTATACAAGAATGATGAAGTGCATGTACACATGTAAAAATAAGGCAATAAAACCAAATGAATTAAACACATTTTGTGTTCTTTAATGCTAGAAGCTTAACAGCTTTTCAGAAATTATAGAATTATTAAACTTTACTACCTGTATTTTATTCATATTATGAAATGAATTAAGAAGCAAAAAATTGAAGAAAAACTTGGAAAAGTCAAAACATTTCCCTGGTTTAATAAAGCAGAAAATAAAACAAATGGCAAATGTACATTCTGTATATTATTAGGTAAATAAGCTCAAAATATTTTTTCAGCTAAAACTGAAATTAAGAAGAAATATATAGCACTGACGTTTTCATTACAGAATTTTCAATATGGCATGCATTACATATAAGTAACATTCAAACAACATTCTACTAAAACAATTTAATAAAATGTGACATGATTTTACAATTTAGTTATACCAAACACACTGCATGGATGGTACAGTTGCAGTACGTCATCCTCAATCCCAGTATCAAGTATCAATATTGACACAAGCAAACTTTATGACCTTTTTACATGACATTTCATCAAGCATCAAGACACACATAACCTTGTTATCTTTATTTGGTACTTGACCTTTACTTTCATAGCATTCAAGGCATTTTTATCAAATCCATTATCTCCATCCATAGAATTAGTCCAAGTTCCAATAACTGTTGGACAGGGAAGTCTGTAAATCATTTATCTTTGTTTGTATTCAGCCTTAGCATTTTGCAGTTAGACTCTGTCTGGTCAATAGCATCTTCCAATTGTCTTAATATAGTGATTTATGAAATAGTGTTACAACAGCATATTCTAGAAACACTTTGCTATCCGATCATCTCTTCATGTTGTCAGCAAATTGATCAGAACAAACTCTGATCTACTTCATGGGTTCTCTTTGAGGGTGACTGTTTCTTCATAGTATCTGCCCACTGAGTAAAAAGAGCAGAATCTTTTTTCGCGTCAGGGAAACTATTTTGCAAACAGATTTACGGTTTCACACGTTAACAAACATGAAAAATGCTGTATAAATAGCTATAGGCATCAGGGGGAGGTCGAGAATATAATTTTTCTGCAAAGGAATCATTTCAGCGGAAATAGGTCCATTGGCCGCCATTTTTTTGGCGTCAGGTTTCAGTCCACTTAGTCCCTCCAGTAATTAAAGAACTCGATGATGGCCACGAACCGCCGAAGGCGAGTGATTACTTTTTTTTTAATCACATATAACTTCTTACCCGTGTATCTATAACTGAACAAACGACGGTTCAATGCAATCTA